ATTGTATCGTTGTTTTTAATTTTTTTCTTTGATGTTTAATTTTGCATCCATGTGTGTTCTATTGTGGTAATTTTATCTATACCTATTGATTATATTTTAAATATTTTTTTTACTTTTGAAATGTTTATCATAACATGATATAACKATGACATTTCCTCCTAAGCTTGTATTTGGTTGCCCCATTCAGTAATCTTCATAGTCTTTTGTGCAGCAACAAAACCAAGCAGTTGTATTTATAGCAGTGAAAATGTAGTGCGCTTCTACTCCTGGGTGTACGGTAACCAAAGGAATGTGTCACACTGATGTCAACTTGTTATTTACTTTCCAAATCTGAATGACTGAGCAAGGCGAAAGGAGAATTAATCAACCACTGTGTGACCAGGCAGGCGAAAAATAGCAGCGCGTGGGGGGAGGGGAAGTGGCTCAAGGCAGGCCAGATAGGCAACTGTACTCAGCAGTGTGCTTCAACTATTAGATATCTCAATGATACGACAATTAGGAGTGATTTTAATCAACATACTTATGGTATCAGTATTATTTATTCGAATGAATGCGTTTTATGAGTCTTTATACACTAGACTGGTTGCTGGGTAGGGATAGACCAACAATATGCTAGTAAGTAGGCGTTACAAATAGGCTTTTTTTTTTTTTTTTTAGCTCGCATGCTAGCTTATGCTTAGCTAATTGTGGGTCTACGCGTGGATACGCTCTGTTAGCTTATTAATTCAGTAATTGACTAATGTTCAGTTGTGTTTTGAGAATTCAGGTTTAAGGTCAGGCAGCCTCCACCACCCCCCCGCCCGCCTCCAGTGTGTGTCTCTTCACTTCTCGCCGCTGTCTCTGCCGCTCCTGGTTCTCAGCGAACGGTGGAAACTCCACGGATCGGGGGGCTTGTTGCAACTTTTACCGCCAGTTGTGACGCTCCGGTGGCAGCAGGCGGCACGGCGCAAGAGAAGCCGACAGTGAGTCATAACTGCGCGGTCGGAACTTGAAATGGGAGGAAAGTCTTCGCTCGCTCGCTGAAGTTGGAGGTTCTCCTTGTGGAAGAGGAAGAGAGGTGGCGGCGGACACCACGAGTTCACTCACAATAAAAAAAAAGGTAAGCCTAGTTGTGTACAAAAAAACGTAGGCTGCCACGGGTTATAAATGCACTGATACGCACGGCTGGGTTCTCATGTGTTTGGGTTTTATTTGCAGCAGATAATGACTTTCAGAAATAGATGGATTATGGCGTTCAGCAGAAGGCTGCCGGCACGTAGCTTTAATCACCCCCTGACTCCACACGTGTGTTGTAATTTCTCATCTTTTGAATTCACTCCCTGTTACAATCCCTACTTTTCTGGCACTTTTAACGCTCACATTGTATTTAAGCTCTGAAGTACTTGACATAATGCACTTCATGAGGTAAGAGGTGGTTGAACAAGTAGTTTTTTGTCTATTTTGGCTCGAAATATCAACAAAAACACACTCCAACGCAAGGAGTTACAGCCACATATGTATGTATAAGCTTATTATACGTTTATTTTTGCATTATATTGGCCTGCTGAGTTAGAGAARAGCATGTGTGGGGGAGGGGAAAGACTTTCAACTGTACATGAAAGTGCCACCAGTTTCCAGGGACAATTACTGTATAATTGCAATATTAAGCTGTAAGTGTTGCGGTGCAGCAGAAACAACTAAATATCACACTTGCCTTATTAATAAAATAGCTTTAAGACAAAAAATATTGAATTAATGGATGCTACAGCCTCTACGAATGAAAATGTCTCTTGGCCTTGGAGTCAAAGTCTTTATTAAGGCATTAAAACTGTTTACCATCTTAACTTCATTTTATTCTTGCAATCCACCAGATAAATGCCAATGTATACATCTTATCGTTATTGTTTCAACAGGTTTTACTTGTTTAAAGTAGGTCATTAGTACTGTATGATGGGACAYTGGGTAAACAAGTCAAAACAGCATTTTGTCTGCCTTATTTTCTAAAGAATATTGCATGCAATGGTCAATGGAAAGACATTTTCAGTGTTAACGTCTTGGCCGCTCAGCTGTACGTGCTGGTAGAAAATAAGCATACCTATTTCCACATAAAAAGAACAACAGCGTTCCCAGTTTAAACATGACTTCATCCACTCTGCGGCTGAGAATAACCAGAGGCGTTGTAAGGACTTTTTCACCCAACTTGTGTTTCACAGGGGCTGCAGCTAATTGGAGACTAGAAAAATAGGCTAAATTTCCATTCAAGTCTCAGTAAGTTTTGGGTGTTTGTGACCAGTGAGCCACGTGGCTGTGTTATTAACAGTTTCAACAACCAATTTTTTTAAAAACCCCAGCCTATTTCTGCTTGGCGTACATTATTTTGTCACCAACCTTTGCCTTTTTTTGTACCCGCCATGGCCCATGTTTCAGATTTAATCAACTTAAGAATATTTCTTGAATCAAAAATAGTTTAAGACCAGTTTTTAAAGTTATTATTTTGTCAAAAATACACCTCTACTGCTCTAGAGATGAGTTTAAGGTGCATGTGATGAAATTAAAGACATTTGAGGTGCTGGTGGTGACTGTAGAATTATTTAGGATCATTTTTCTCATAATGCTTTCGAACATATTTAGAAGTTGTTTACAACTTCGAGATGTTAGAGACTACCTTACCAATGCTGTTTTGTCAACTAGTTACGGTCCAGTGAAATACWACCTTGAATCATATGAACCCACTGCTAATGAACATTTTGTTTTGTTTGTTGATTTTATTGTTACATTCGACGTGTCATAAACACACCAATAAACAGCATTTACAGCTACTTTCTTTACGCCTTTTGTCACATTGGATCAGTGTGTCATCACTTCATTTTGCTTGGTTATTATAGGTTTTCAGAGCACACGCTCCACATTGTTCTTTTTGTAAATCTTGGTAGTAATTTATTTTTTTCCAGTTATTTTTCTAAGTGTGCACTGAACAACCACAGATTTAGAGTTACAACCAATGATGATTCTTTCCTGTCTGTGACTATTTGTTTGGGGAAAGTTCAAAAGTAGCACAGTGTACACCCAACCGTGATTTAGTTTCTTTACGCTTGGGGCTCCTGAGTTATGTTCATTGCCTCCCTGAATGGGAGCAGATGAAATTTGTGTCTGAGATGACCTAGATGTCCGTCTAGGTGTCATGTTTCAATCGCTGTCGGCCAGAGCTGATAAATGTCTTTGCTACTGCAGTTATTTGACCCAGGTCTTATGAATATAGTCCTACTGAAGACAAAAAACCAGTATCAGTGTTTTTTATTTATTTATTTATTTTGGTGTCAAATGGACTGCAGTTCTTGACTCATTATGATCAGTTTGTACTGCTTCATTTTATTTGTTGTGTAATTAGTATGAAGTAATGTTAACATGCAGGTGGTCTTGTTTTATGACAGGTTTAACACCAAACAAACCATCTTTTGTGTGAGTTCTGTGTATGATCGCCAGTTTGGAAACGAAACATATCACCTAAAAAAACAAAACAAAACATAATTTATTTATATTACACTACATCTCCATTGTTTTGCCTTAAATCCATTTTTTATAAGCCATTCAACTCTATTGAGTGTGAGGCAACAGAGCAGAGCCTTCTGAGATATTGTGTTAAAACCAGAAAGGCGTCCTCAGCTCAAAAGTAGGGCAAGGAAGTCCCAGAGAAAGCTTTTCAGTCTTGTGGTGCAACAATTTTCTGTTTCGAGCTAACCAAATATTTCTGTAGCAGTATTTATTTATGATAGGCCGTGGGGGGAGGTGAGCCTTTCTCTCCCACCCCAAAGAGGCGTTCAGCATTCACAGGCTACCAGCCAACTGGCACAAGCGTGGTTACTCTGAAAATACGCCCGTACAAGTAGTGGCTTGGTCACAGTTATGCATTTGCTTAGGCTTTGGATTGTCATTGTGTGAAGTTTTGTGTGTGATTTCTAGACTCTGTTTATTTAAATTAAAACAAATACTCACATTAACCCTAACCCTTTTTAAAAGGTGTGGTAGCCTAAATATGAAACTGTCTCTTTGTTCAGTACAGTATGAGCTTCATGCTGTTTATGTTTCATAATTATTTCATTTGAAGTCTTCACAGTTTTCCAATCTGTTAGTGTATGAGTGGTTATTCTGCTCAGCCAGTAAACCAACATTTTCTTTTCCACCCAAGGTCAGTCAGTAAATAAATGCAACCACGTCGTCTATCATAGAGCAAGTCTATACTGCATTCATTAACTGCATCTGCCAAGTGATTTTTAAATCCGTTTTCAGGAAGCAACCAAGATGTATGGAGACACTATACTGCTGGTGGATGACTGTTCAGGAAGTTGTGCAAGAACCTGCTTGTGAGAAATGTGTTAAACAGTGTTTTTGCATTGTCCCATTTTTTTTCATGTCATTGTCATTGAGCCACGTTGGCATACCTTTTTGTACTTTTTAAGTGAAAATAAGTAAAGCATTATTTTTATAGTATAATTTAGAGGACATAATTAATGCGTTTGAGTGACAGTAATACAGCATAATAAAAACAGCACTATTTTTTTCTTGTTTTGCAAGGGTGGATGAAGCAATAAAGAAGCTTATGATTGATTCAGATCATAGAGATTGTTGGGAAGTGATAGGACTACACTATCAGATTGGGCAATCTGAGATTATAAGATGAATAAGTAAATTCTAGAAATAAATTAGGGGATTTTCTAGATGTCACAGTAAGCATATTTTGAAAAGATGCATCACAAAACCCTTACATAAATATATTTTAGATGGGTCAGAATGACAAGAATAAACCAAAGATCTGAAGTGAAAAGATGAAAAGACTCCCTAGTGTTTATTTTAAATTGTTATACTAATGATGCTGGCCACACTACTTAAAATAAACTTTTATCTAACTCTATTGATTTGTGTTATCTGTAATCAGTAATTTATTTCAACATACGCATCTGTTAAAAAAAACTTTCTGTGTATGCCATGTGCTGTACTGAAACTGACTGTACAGATAAAAAAAACAGCTTGTTGTTAACACTAAGGAAGCCATCCAGCTTTTACTTTATGATCTCTTAACCTAAGTGAAGTTACTGTAGCCTTTGGGACCACGTTTGTGTGTGTGTGTGTGTGTGTGTGTGTGTGTGTGTGTGTGTGTGT